AATTGCGACCTAATTTATAACCTTAAAATATTATATTATACGTGCTTGTTTAAGAATACTATTCAAGCTTTACACAAATAATTATTACTATATGCTTTCATCCAAAATTTTACAGTATCAACTTTAGAAGCCAACTTGGTCGCGTTTGCCGATTTTCTAAGGTCGCGCCTGTTATGCTATTCATGACGTTATAAAAGGTTTTCTATACAAGTTTTTATTGACATTTTGTTCGAGTTAAATACCTAATTTGTTATACTATTTTTGTATATTAACGTATCTTGATATATATGAACAAACACTTTTTTATCATGAAAAAACGCAGTTTTAGTAGTCTAATTAAAAGACATTTACAAAGTTTTAACAAGATTGACCGTCTGGTTTTCCAACAAAAAAATTATTAAAGTTGCTAAGACTACACGGGATGTTATCGTTTATTATTGCTAAACTGTGTTGTTAATGTGAACATTTATATGCCGATTCGACAGGCATAAATGCATACGAGAAAAAATCATCGATTTCTTATTGTCATGTTAAAAGATATAGATTAATTAAATACATCTCCTATACAGACCATGTCTTTAATTATTTAATGCATATCTTTTTTTTGTATTGAACTTTTACAGAACGTAATAATTCGTTTTTACAACTTATTCTAAGATTTTAAATTACACTGCATCTAGAAATGTCACTGCAACTGTCAAAAGCGAAAAGCGTTACCAAAGAAACCATTTATTAACAACTAGAAATGTTGTCGTATTTACCTAAAATTTTAATTCACTTGTCTGGGTTACATTATATAATATATTATATATATATAGTAGTAGATATACTACTACTATATCTACTTATAGTGCCTTTTGTATTAAAATAATAAATAATTATAAAATCAGTTAGTAAATTGGCTGTTTTTTAAATCAAATGTAAGAAAATGACAAAGTAAATTTTGTTTTTCCAAGTTGGTAACTATCGCTATTTATGCGTTAAGTATAAAAGCAACTGTACTAGTAGAGAAAAAAGAATATTTTTAACAAACTTTCCAATTGTTTGAGCCTGATTGCTTTAAATCAAACCACTGAAATTTAATTCAAAATTAGTGCTTTTGCTTAGAATGGGTGAACTGCTTTGCCAGAAATGGATGATTCGTTTTGCTGTGTTTGCTTGAAATATTATTAAGTTCTATGCAATATGCAAACTTTGTAGACTACTGATAGTCATTAAGATTAGGTTTTTTACGTTTGAAATAAGTTTAGGTGGGTTTCCATAAAACGTGCAATATTTTTCACTAAAATTTATTGATGGGTTAACTGAAATAGATATACTACTACTATATCTACTTATAGTATAGAGAGAAAAGACTCATTTATTATTACAAAATATAAGTTACGTACACATTTCTTTTTAAGTAAAGTTATAATTTTTAAATTTTGAAATATAATAAATAAACTTTTTGTTTAATTGGTAAAACATGATGAATTCCTAGAACTTAATTATTGCCTCAAGATAAGATATCTCTAATTTTTTAATAAATAATATAGAATAGATTTTAAACACACGAAGGTGTTTTGCTGGTTGATGTCTTGGTTATTAACAAAAAAAGAGTATTAGGTAATAATTTTGCGGTTATTTAAGAAGTTATATGAATAATAGTTAGCTGTCATGGTTTAAATGTATTACACTGGTTTAATATCAGTAATCTTACAATAACTACAGAATATTACACTATGAGGTAATAGTTAACTTATCGGGTAATAATAAATCTACGAAGAGATGACTCCTAGACGTTTTTATTATTATTATTATCCAAACAGATTTCTTAATACTTATTATTATATATTATTTATTGCTATAGCATGGTGTTATATGTAATAACTTATTACTATTTACTAATAAGATTCATTTATACCCAATAAACCACTGGAGTGGGGATAAAAAATATGCCGCATAGGCTATGCGAGTTTCGATTAGTTCAGTTAAGACTCTTAAGAGATTTAGTCGATTCCCATCATAGAATAGTAATAGTTGCACCATTAAGTGGAAACGTTTTTTTGTGTGCAAATTATGGAAAATTCCAAGGCAGATTGTCAGGAACTCTTAACTAACTAACCAACTACTAACTAAGGAACTCTTAACTAAGTGTACTACTGTAAAGAATATCACTCCAGTGGCATTGCACAGAAACGGCAGTTATGTTTTCTTGGTAAAAAAATACTAAAAGTAATATTTTTATGAAGAATAATTAAATCATATTTTGTTACCGGAAGCTCATTATACATGAGTGGTAACTTCGGATTTTTAGTCAGTTCTAAAAGGATTTTTTTATTTTTATATACCGGGCTCGGTATATACCTACGGATATATAGGGAGCCCGGTAAATAGAAATAAAACAGGAAATATAAAGCATTAAAAAAATAAAAATTAAATTCTTTTAGAACTATTATAGTTCTAACTACAAATCACTGATTTGAAATCAGAAGTTACCACTCATCTTTAATGAGCTTCCGGCAACAAAATATCACTACATTCTTTTTTTTTAAATATTACTTTAATTATTATTATTTTTATGTACTCATAGGTATAAGCTTACTCTAAATGTATTCAGTTTTCAATGGCGGCTGGTGGATTTTGGCTATACCGATATCTTAGTTGGTGTGGGTCCCATGTCTTATAACTAAGTATCGGTATACCCAAAACCCCCCAGACGCCACTTTCTTTTTTTTTGTTCTGTTACACCTTAAATATTTTTAAACTTTTTTCAAAAATAAATTTTCTTATAAATACACACTTTTATTTATTACCTTATACAATCGCACTGTTATAAATACATGCTATACTAATAATCATACATTTCTAATAGTTAAAATATGAATTGATAATTGCAATTAATTAAAATATTTATTATTATTTCTCGCATTATAATAAACACCTATTGCCTTTTTAATACAAAGCTCTTGTGGATGAAATATTACCTTAAGTTCATTTACTATAAATAGGCTTTTCTAATATAAAGCGCCTGTGGATTAACTATTAAGTGAAGACCAATTACTATAAGAATACTTTTCTAACATAGCGTTTTTTTTATTAATAGCTAACTAACTAATGTTTTAACTGTTACCGAACTAACTTTTATTAACAAATAAATATGATATACTTTAAGATGTGTTTACTATAAACCCATATGAGGTCGGCAAAATACAATGCTACGTTAAGGTAAATATAAACCTATTACGGTGTTTACAACCACTCCTTTCTCTCTGTGTACCTAAAATTTTAATTCACGTGTCTGGGTTACATTATATAATATATTATATATATATAGTAGTAGATATACTACTACTATATCTACTTATAGTGCCTTTTGTATTAAAATAATAAATAATTATAAAATCAGTTAGTAAATTGGCTGTTTTTTAAATCAAATGTAAGAAAATGACAAAGTAAATTTTGTTTTTCCAAGTTGGTAACTATCGCTATTTATGCGTTAAGTATAAAAGCAACTGTACTAGTAGAGAAAAAAGAATATTTTTAACAAACTTTCCAATTGTTTGAGCCTGATTGCTTTAAATCAAACCACTGAAATTTAATTCAAAATTAGTGCTTTTGCTTAGAATGGGTGAACTGCTTTGCCAGAAATGGATGATTCGTTTTGCTGTGTTTGCTTGAAATATTATTGTTCTATGCAATATGCAAACTTTGTAGACTACTGATAGTCATTAAGATTAGGTTTTTTACGTTTGAAATAAGTTTAGGTGGGTTTCCATAAAACGTGCAATATTTTTCACTAAAATTTATTGATGGGTTAACTGAAATAGATAAAACTTATAATAAATCTGCTACCGTTTTTGCGAAAAGCTCAGCATTTCCAACAAATATAATAAGTTTTTGGCAAACATATCAAAGTTAATGGGCAATTGTGCTTAGTTTGGAAAGCGCAATTTTTAGAGTGGGGGAACGCTTCTTGAAACGCGTCTTCTCGTGCACTTACAATTTGAATAAAACGGCATAACGTTTAAGAATATTGTATAAATAGTCGGCCTTATCACGAAGTGACCTAACCCCCAAAATTGAAAACAGTGACATTTTGCGAGAGTTAACTTACGATGGTCTATAATATAAAAATACATAGGCCATTTCGTGAGAATAGAATAGACCATCGTAAGTTAATCTGCGAAAAATTTCATTTTATTTTTCAATTTTGTGGGTTAGGCCACTTCGTGATAAGGCCGACGATTTATACAATATTCTTAAGCATTATGGCGTTTCATCCAAATAAACCGTAGTTTCTTCAGAAATGCAGGTACCTTTAATGGAAATGAACTTTATTGGTAACAAGCAGATACCAATTTTTCCTAAAGTTACTTACCAAGAAATTCAAAATTAGTAAGTTAGGGGCAAACTTAAATCGATTCATACAAAATCGACTATACTGGTAGCAAGTAATTACCAATTTATCAGAAAAGTATTCAACAAAGAATTCAAACTCAGCAAATTTGACTCAAATCTACATGAGTTTTGTTCAAAAGCAGTTTTCAGGATGCTCCAAAGTGATGGTTTTTTACTATTAAACCTTGGTACATTCCGCCGTATTTAAATATGACATACGTTTGAAAGAAACGTTATGCCTTTCGCTGAAATAAAACCTTCTCTCAGCCTATTACCCCTTTTCCCGCAATTTACTGCCAAACCTTCTTAAGCATTTTAATATAAAAAAATCATTGTTATCATTAACTTATTTTATATTTTGTTTAAATATTGTTGTTTCTAATTTAGATAATAATAATGTTTATTTAAGTAAAAGGACAATAGTATTGCAAGAGCCTTAACGTACACAATAATTTATCTTTTTTTTATTTTAGAAGATATTTAAAAATTCTTTAGTAGTATATTATTATACGATTGAATAATGCGCATTATCTACTCCATTATCTACTCCTTATGTATAATGTACACTATGATTATTATTTTATTTTAAAGACCTTGTTATAACAAATAAATATTTTTAGGATAACGGAACGGTATCCGAGATCACTGTCATCGACTGGCAACTAATAAAAGTGGGAAGTCCAATGCACGACTTAGTGTATTGCCTATATACAGGAACTGGAAAAGAAGTTTACAGCCAACTAGACTACATTCATAAAATCTACTACAACAGCCTTACATCCACACTAAAAGAATTTAATTTAGATGTCGAAGAAATTTACCCCTTTGAAGCTCTTAAAGAAGACTGGCAGGTCGTTTCAAAATTTGCTATGATGTTCGCCTTCATGATTTGCAAAATAAAGCTGGCAGTCCAAGAAGACATGTTCGATTTGACCGATTTCGACACGAAGGAGCAAAGGGAAAATCCGATGTTTAAAATGAGAGTGGCTGACTCGTACGATGTCATGATGAAGGATTTGGTTACGCATATGTATGATATTGGTGTCTTGTAAATATTTTGGTGAAAACAGTATTACTTATCTTAATTTTTAAATATTTGTACATATTATTGTTGAATAAATATTATTTGTAGTAGTTGTTACTATGACATTTTTAATACTGATAAGTTCAGAATTTCCACAGCTTAGTTTTTTTAAAAGGTAGTTTTTTAAATACATTACATACCTTGGTTAATTAACACCATACTGTGCGTGCTATTAAAAAAGTTAATTCAAAATTCAAGATTGTTGTGAACTGACATGCCTAGAGATGCGACGTAAAAAAAAACGGTCCGTTTTTTAGATTTTTTTTCAAGATTAGTCCCGTTTGCCTAATTTTTTATGTTTCAAGTCCAGTTTATGGACTAAAATTTGCCTCTAAATGACAATTAGTAAATGTAAATGCTATGCACGCGCCACCACCACCGAATTGACCAATAAGGGCCGCGCTTGTTTGATTTGGTCCTAAAAAAAGTAACTACATATAATATTTTTGATTCAGCGTTTGATTTTTCAAAAAGCACTTTTTTCATGATTTTTAAAATTCATGTATGGATTTTTTTTTAAAGAGCATTTATTCATTGGTGGTTAAGTCAGAACATTCCGTGGAGCAGAAAGCCAAAAAAATCGATTTTTTTATTACGGTATTCGTTAGGATTGAGCATTGCAAATTTTTCATCTAAAAATCTCAAAACTAGAAACGTCAAGCTTCAAATTGCTTTTTTTACGGCTCCAATACGACCATTTTTAACAAAGATACAGCTATCCGAAAAAAAATTTTATCCTGTAATTTTTTGTATTAGTGTAGAAGTTTTACATTGCTACTGGTTTCTAATGTGGAAACTACCAAATAATAAGATTTTTTAGTCTCGGTCAAAATTTTAAATAATGAAAAATTTAATATATTCTACATTTCACTTTATTATTAATACCTATACATTTTACTCAAAATTTCATTTTGAAAAAAAAACAAAAAAAAAGTTTTTTTTTCTAGTTTTTTTTTCATGTTTTTTTTTCACATCTGAAAAGAAACCGTTTTTTACATCTCTAGTCATGCCCCATAATATTATACCATTATACATACTCTATAATATGGACTAAACTAACCCATTGAACACCCCATATATTTTTAAATACATTTTTAAATTCTAATTTAAATTCTACATTTCACTTTATTATTAATACCTATACATTTTACTCAAAATTTCATTTTGAAAAAAAAACAAAAAAAAAAGTTTTTTTTTCTAGTTTTTTTTTCATGTTTTTTTTCACATCTGAAAAGAAACCGTTTTTTACATCTCTAGTCATGCCCCATAATATTATACCATTATACATACTCTATAATATGGACTAAACTAACCCATTGAACACCCCATATATTTTTAAATACATTTTTTAATTCTAATTTAAATTCTAAGTAAAATGACTATGCCATGTCCTATACCTAAATTGTATAGTTTTCGAGTTATTAATTTTTTTCGTTAAAATTCGACAAATGCGCTATAATCCAAAAATAGCCTATAACTTTTTTGTAATTAGGTTTGCGAATATTAGAGTGGAATTTTAAAAATCTTAAAATATTGTTTAAAAGATTTAATGTTAATTCTTTAATATTTCTTAACAAATTACTAAAGAAAACCAGGGTAAATTAGGCTAACTTAAAACGTTAATAACTTTTTTATTTTAAATACATAATCAAATAGTAAATTACAAAACCTTTCGATTTATGTAACTTTTTCCTATAACTAAAGTTAATAATTTAAGAGATAATTAACAATTTCAAAATTTTTAAATATTATTTTGTACCTATGGTTACCATGGTAACGTAGGTGCACGTAATCATTCTTCAAAATTTAATCGAAATATAAATTGTATCTATCAGATACAATAAACACACATTTTAGTAATAATTAACATGAAAATTGTAAACATTTCAATTCAGTAAAAATCTTCAAACAAATAAGTCGTCTAAATTTAAACAGCATTTAGCATTATTAAAAGCGTTGATTAAGAATTCTTTATAAGTCTCCACTCAACGGTAAATCAGCATTATGTATTATATATAATTTTATGTTGCCATGAATTCGTAGGTAAGTATATTGTGTTGTTTAAAATGCAGTTTTCGGCGTTTTTTAGAGAACAAAAATATAAAAATTATTGATTTTAAGGTTATGTTTGGGCAAAAATTATTTTTTATCAATTTCTTAAAAATGTCCAAACTTAAATATAAATTATATTAGGTAAAGTTATCATTAGTTAATTCTGCACCAACAAATGTACTTACCGAATTGGATCCTTTGGCAAAACATTAAAATGCAACGATTTAGTTCTCGAATTTTATTTACAATTAAAAACACAATAATTCACCATGATCCCTTAGATAAAATACACACACTAACGTAATTATATAACTTATATAATATAAGCATTTAAGCGTTGAGTTTCTTAATCAATGATATAAAGAATAATCAATCGAAATCGTGTACTAAACAATTAAGACTTCTACACTGTTCAAAATTTTAGCTATTTTTTACCTAAAATATTAGACTATATAGGACCATTGATTTTTTAAGGCAAACTGCTTAAAATGAATTCAGAGGAATATTCCCCTTTTAAATTAGTGAATTCTTTAACTGATATTTTTAAAGAAAATGATAAAATTAATTAAGCAAAATTACTTAGGTTTCAAAGATAATACACCTTAGATCGTAAGGGATATTGCCTGAGAATAAATGAATAAATTTCCTGTTTCTAAGGCAATTCGCTTAAATTTTTAGGTAGATTTTAGCTAAGTTTTCAGGCAAATTATATATATTTTTAGTGAAAATCCTAGCATAGGAATTTTCTTCCATGTTAGGACTCCTTTATCTTTGTGTCCTAGGCGAATTAACAACGGCGGTTCCGGTACTACATGTAGTACCGGAACCCTTTAAATAATCCCAACCCTGCATGGTTGGGATTATTTAAAAATAAATTGGGGTCAATGGGAAATTCCATTTAGTTTAGATTACTTAACTATAGCACTACAAAATGTTCACTTATATCACAATAATTGTTAACTATGTTGTTATATCAATAGCACACAACGCGGTCTTTAAGCTTTCGTTGATTTTGGCATTATGGTGGACAATATAGGCACGAATATTTATCTTAAAACGTCGGTATTAGCGATCGTAGCCGATTGCAAGTAAGTCACTAATATTTAAAGGAATTTACCTAAATTAGTTCAATAATTTGCCATAATAATTTAGAAGAATTACCTAAATTAAAAGCAAAATTGTCGTACCTAAAAGTAATTGAGATTTTGACTAAATATTTAGGTAATCTGCCTTTCTTTTTAAATTTGACAAGTTTATTAAGTAAAGTATGAATATTTATCTAGAAGTTAGTGAATTCACCATAGAACTAAGGCATTAGTTTCTGCCTAATAAACGAGAAGGTAAATTGCTTTACTCGTTTAAGCATATTACCTTATTTTTCCTTAACTAATTCTGATTAGGTATTTCAAAAGGCTTGATTTTGAACAGTGTACCTTCCTCTCTTTTGTAAAAAAACTACCTATTTATTTAAAAATGATGTACAGTTCGTATGCTTTAAGGTAGTTGTCGTGGTACAATATTGTCAAAAATTTTTAGATTATACGCACCGTAAAAGTACGAGCTTGTAGCTAAGTGAATCATAATTTATTCGCAAGACTGTACCCTGGAGACGATACCTTTACGTAATACTTTCAAATATTTTCATAAGTTTTAATCCGGCAACGTCGCTTATGCTCAACCAATAGATATATTGGAGACTGAATCAGTGTTTGAATTTACTGCGGAAATAATATCTATACTCGCGTACAGCGTTGCCAAGTTGTTTTTATCTGACACTAGTGATGTATACTTTTTACAAATTGTTGAACTTTAAACGGTTATTTATAAACAAATGGACGGTCAAAAATTTTTAATTATTTTTTTTTAAACTCAGCAAAAATACATTAAAAGACTGTTAGTTTTTTGAAAGCTTCTGACAGTTAGTTTTTTTTATAACTAAGAAACTGGTACAGAACTACAGAAAGCCTATACAATCCATGTTAATTATCCAATTTTTAATTGAATTTATCTCGGGTTATAGACGGTCAATCGACTTCAAATTTTAAGGATAATTGTATTGTCATGTCCTTAATATGTATACAAAAATTTAAAATTTTCTGATGGTATGCTTACAGCACGACAACTACCTTAAATGTATTGTTAACAATTCTTAAATTCACGCAATGCTTTTGAAGTCCACCAGATGATGCGCGCGTTGCGAAAACCCGATACTTCTTTAGCGTATTGACTTATAAAAAACATTGACAAGCAAAACTTTTTTAAAATTTAAAAGTAGGTAATACATACAGTATTTTTATCGTATTTCATTTTTAACAACTGTCTAAGGAGCATCCGTGCAAAACCGGCTAAATCCATTTTATTCAGTTTTTGTTTTTTTTATTGATTTCGCATCTTTGGGTTCATTTCTATCGACAACCAAGATAATTCAGTTTAAATCCGACTAAATCCATGTTAAAATCACATTTAAAAGGTAGCTTTAGGAGCAAAACCGGCCAAATCCACGTTTTTATAGCAAATAAATAATAATATGTGGCTTGTATATGTCGATACTACGACTAAAATTTGTTCTGTTTTTTCATGTTTGCACTAAATTTATTTTGTTAATATTTTTGAATAATAAAGGTTTTTTTTTCACATTTTATTCGTTTTTTATTCGGTTTTCGAGCAAAACCGGCTATATACAAAACATTTTTTGAAATTTTGGCCTTAATATAAAGTTTTTGAAAACGAAAGTATGTCTTATAAATCAAGTACCACAAAGCCCACAAAACTCAAGTTTGCTTTTTCTTTTATCTGTAAAGGCCAGGAAACCGAGAGTTTTTGCCATTTTCCCAACATTTTATTAAAGTGGATATAGCCGGTTTTGCATAGCACACTCTTGCTAATAAAATAAATTTTAATGATTAAACTTTAATCTAAGTTTTCGTGATTTAGGAAAAAAACAACTTTACTAAATATTTTTTAATTTTCATTCAAATTTTGGATATAGGCATATGGGATAGTAC